GATCATGAGCTCTTCTGAAAACCATTTCAAATTAATATTCTAATATTCTGCTGCATTAAAGACATATATTTAGGGAAAGTGATTGCTTTTTTTTATATATATACCCACGAATCACTCAAATTAGACGATGTTAATTCATAAAAGAAGGAAAAAAGAACTTCATCATCATATATATATACATATATATATATATATATATATATATATATATATATATCGAAAAACATAAGGAAAATTAATTCATTTTAATAATATGTGGAAATATCAACTCTTTACCTAGAGAAGCTCATGAGACCCGAAAATTGCAAAATTATGAAAAATAAAGCATAATATATATTTTTTTTAAATTTCCACATTGCAACCAAAAACGTTTGCGGTTTCTCTCTTCTTTTTAAAATATACACTTCTCACCAAACGGAATGTGGGTGTTTTTTTACAATGTGCTTGGCATGGCGGGTCCAAGCCGTGAAGGTTATAATTAGTGGAGCCAAGGAATGTACTTGGTCTGAGCATTTTCCATGGAAGTAGCGATAGAACAGTGAGAGACTTGCCACATCCCGTTGGAAAATAATTCATCACCCACAAGGTCGCGGATACGCTTTTGCACTCTATCGAGACTGGAAAGTGAGGACTGAGCAGCTTCTGCCCAAATATGACAACAGTAATTCATTTTCAGCCTGATCTGGTTCTGCATTATTCATGGGTTAAAGTGCTTAATATCAGGGATATAGTGTATGTAAATATAAACGTGAGGTCAGTATTTCATGCCCTGAAGATTGCGCGTCCACTTATATATATATATATATATATATATACATTATCCACAATTACGAACCTTATTAGAAAATTGTAAAGGTGCGGTTGAAAATTGAACTGACAGACCATGTCATTTTTTTAATCAAACTTGTTTGGATTATATATACAGAGTGCTCTATTCATTACAAAGAGCTTATCAATATAGCAGCGGCAGCCATCAAATACCCTTTCTTTCAAACGACGATATATATTCATTGAAAAACAACTGACAAGGAAGATTTTATTAATGTTTTAATTAATCTTTTATTGAGTTTTTCCAACTTTCTAACATTTGTCCGTTTTTCAGAGGTTAAAGAATGCAGAAATTGTCCATAGTTATAATTTTTCCGAGCGCTTTCGGCAAGTTCTATAGGCATTTTCAAGTATGTTGTTTTGGGACTGTAAATTTCTGTGTTGACTTCTACATAGTAGTTTAGCTGTGTGGAGTATGTGTGAGGAGGAGGGTTGTATGCTTTTTTGGTTATCACATGCCATGCGCAGCCGGTTGACCTGGGCATCACTTCTATTTTTAGAAAACTTTTAACATGCCGTCTCCACTGCTAAATAGTGTAAGATCGATAACAGGAGAATGGTATTTAATCAGCAATGTTTTCCTAATGATAAGTTGTGTACGAATACATGATTTGAAAAGAATATTTGAAATCGAATAGAATTTTCCTTAAATGCCCTTGTAAATTACGAGTTAATAAATGTTTATTAATCGCACTCTGCTTCGAAAGATGGCATGTAAGGCGTCTACTTAAGGAGGTAGTGGTGTGTCTGATATAGGTAATTGATTTTTGACAAGTCACACAATCTTGTACTGGGCATTGAAATTGGTACACTATATTGGTCGCCGCTAGTTTAGATTTGGTAGGATTATTTCGGTTGCTGACAACAAGGTTCGTGGTCTTCTGTTTTCTATCATATATTATGGACTTTATATGTTTTCCAGGGGTTACTGCAGAAATAGGTGTTTAATGATTTTCCTTATCGTAAATGCATTCTACTTATAATTATTGCGCATCTGGTTGCAATAAAATATATTGATGTTTTGTGGTGTTGTATTTTTGTTACTGGCGTCGTGTATTTTTTTGTAAGAAAAATTTTATTTGCTTATCTATGATGTAGTTCGGAAAATTATTGTTGACTAGTGTTTCTTTTGTATGTTTTAGTTCGCTTAGCAATATTCTTTGGGAAGAGGGATTTTGATGTGCTCTATTTATGCAGTTTGTTATCACTGCTATCTTATATATATATATATATATATATATATATATATATATATATATATATATAATATATATAAAACAGGATGTCCGTGTGTATGTCTGTCTGTCTGTCTGTGGGATAACTTTTCACTCGAGATCATCCAACCGATTTTGACCAAACTTGGTATATACATTGTACAGTATAAGAGATAGACTCTTAGCCTAAAAAATTGATAATTAAAAAAAAATCAATAATCGATAAAGCCGATCAAAAATCGATAAATTCAACTTTTTTCCCCTGATTTCGTTCAAACTCTGTATGCGGGTTACTTACATCATGACGAGCTCAACGATACCTCATTTTTTTTTCTAGGCCACTACGTTTAGCGCAAAACGAAAAATCGTTTTCAACACAAATCAATTTCAACACAAATTTTAAACTAAAAATTCTCTCAATTTTCAAGCAATCTAATACAGACTTCACTCAATTGTAGCCAACAATAAGTTGATTCTTTAACAGTCATTTAACTTGATAATTGAGTCCACACATATCGTGAAAACCCTCTTAAATAGCGAAAAATGCCAATTTTTACTGGTTTCTTTCTTAATTTTCGTCAATCTTTCAACCATTTTTTATTAAACTCAAGTGCTTTATAAACATATCCCGTTTTACATCCCTGGTAGCACACTGACAAAGTGAATTTCAAAAACTCCACAATAATTGTGGTCTGAAGTGGGTCTTCATGTTGCCTGTTTTATCCCTTCGTATCCTTGACTAACTTTGATTGAATAAATACAGACTACTTCTGTTATATCAGTAACTGCATTAATTCAAAATGTTTTTAATGAAGGTACTTTAAAGTAATTGAAGAAGATAGACTCTGTTACATCTAAATGATGTTGTTTTTGCTCCATTCTAATTGAACGCTTTTTCTGATTGACCAGCTGGGCATTATCTATCATAGTTTAGAAGACAAGAGTTCATACTAGTGTTATTTTTATACAGGTAAGTTGTTAATTTGTTGGATTTTACTTCTATCTTAACGTCGAGGAATAGGATCTTATTATGTACCATGGATTTATTTTTGAATTTTATTTTTGAGTTTTTTTTCAAAAGTTGATTTTAGGTTAGCGATTTCATTTTATATATCAAAACGAAAATGTCATCCACGTACCTTGTATAGATTTCAGGTTTATCGATTGTTTTAAATACTTTGTTTTCAAGGAAAACGTTAGTGGAAGAGATAGATAGTGATAGATCTGGTTAGAGAAGTTTGATTTAGGAAATCTGCAACAATTTTGAACAGAAGAGGATTAAGCATTTTATTTTCAAAAAGCTCACCATTAGAAAAGGAGAAATAAAAATCCGTCCCAGAGCTTGATACGACACACTTGAAGTATTTGTGGAAAGGTCATTTTCTCAGCGGTTGGTTTAGCCAAATACATGATATCACACCGGAGAGATCAGGTGAAAAACTTTTTGTGTATGCAACCCTACCAGAAAGACTTGCATGTTATTTGTTTTCGTTTTGATACAAGGTTTTTAAGTCTGTTTTGGGACTCGAACCGTCACATGATTGTACAACATTACAGGCAAATTATTTTCCAAATGGACAAACAAAATAAACTTTATGTATGCCAAGTGCGTAAGAGAGGTTATCAAAGAAATGCTGGCCTTAAGAATCACTTACGAGCCCATAGCAGAGCGTTAGATCAGGTATAAATGATGGAAATAATACAATTCTGAATGAAAAACACAAAAAAAGAAAGTTCCCAAATGAATAGATGGTCTTCTTCCTCAAAGAAGTGACAATCATCATATGTATATATATAAAAAAAATTCAACCATAGCGTTGTGACTGCATGCTCCAAAAGTTTGTATCCCTGTCGATTATTATAGTTGATGATTGACAATATAACTTAGGTAGAAAAAAAAAGTAGAAAAAGCAAAAAAATAAAATAAAATAAGAAGAGCTGAAACTAACTCTTTTTGGACTCCAATCTTGTCATGGGTTCCTGCTTAGTACGCACCGCACCAGTCATGCAGATACCCGATGTATATTATTAGTGACACTGTAGCGCCAGTTTAAAAATACTTTAAAAAAAAATGGCGGATGGCCATAAAACAGTGCTGAAAAAAAAACTGAGAGGCCACAACGTGGCCCCCCAAACGCTCCCACGGTCGTGGGTTTTGGGGGGTAAGACGCGCCGGCTCTGTGCATAGATGTCTGGCTATAATGTTCGATTTATATCCATGCTACTCAGGTTCAAATCGCATCATGGTCCATTTTTCAAGGAGGTGACGTTTTGATGTTATCAGCCTGGGGAGGTGATCCCAGCGCGCGACACTTTTGGAAGGTCCCAGAAAACCGTAACACGGGTTGCCTCAAGATTTCTAAGTGAAATTTGGTGGAAGTCGTCGATTGTTGTGCTAGCACGAAGTGATAAGTCACCGTGTCCGAGGATTTGAGTTCAAGAAATTAATCACACTAGAATATCACTGTTTCTCCCTGAGACTGTAACTAAGGTCCGCTCATCATAATTGCACTATAAACCACTGTTGAGGTCTGTGGGTTGAGCAGGCGTCAGTAATAGGGTTTGGCTAATCGCAGACGAGTTTGCTCAGAAAAGAACAGTAGCCAGCCACCATGGTAAAACAAATTCTTCAAATTGTAAAATCGTTAAATGTAGATCGATGCAGACAACAGAGTTTATAACGTTTTAATTATCAGATGATATATTTGATTTGTTTCGTTTTTACGGCTTATCAACCCATTACAGGTTATCTAAAGCCAGAAAATATTCTTAGATTGTGCGAGTTTTTATGATAATAGTTTAATGATACAAGTCATTAAACCCATAGCCGGAGGGAGAAGACAGGGATTAATACCATCCCCAAAGTTATTTGAGCGTAAGTGAATATAACGAACTGGAATTGGAACTACGATTACCTATTCTGATCCATTATCTATTACACCACCCGCACATCCAAACTTACAGCGGCAGAAATTATCAAGTGGTCACCCTTCTAGGTACTGACCAGGTTCGACGTTGCTTAACTTCGGTGATCGTATGAGAACCGGTGTTTCAAATTGATGTGGCTGTAAGCCAGACGATACCCGAATAGCATAATTGTATAATAGATATTATAAGGCATTTCTTTCGTTTTGGTGCTGACTGGGGAATTTGCAAACGTAGTTTGAAAGATTTAGTATTCGAACTTGTTTCTCTTATTTCTTTTTTCAAAATAAAAATAAAAAAAAAACTTGTAATTGTTGGCCCAACATGTACCTTCCCCCCACAAAAAAAGATGAATGGATAGTAAGATAATACTGCTCCTCTTCTCCCTTCCAATTCTCTAGCGAATAATGGCGATAAACAGAATTTGCACTTTGGTCAAAAGTCACTAATAAAGAAAATCTCGCCTTTCTGCAAATGGGCGACTCCAACCATATATGAATGTAATTTGTTTTCATTTTTAATTTAATATTTTTCTCTTGATTATCTGCATTGTTTTCCTACATTTTTTGCTTGAACGCTTTTTAATTATGTTTGTGTGTGTATATATATATATATATATATATATATATATATATATATATATATATATATATATATATTTTAGGCTCAAACACTAATATAATTTATTACATTGGAATCGTAATCACGATCAAATTTTCAGACCTACAAATTCAAATTGAAATATTTTATATTATATGAATGTAATATAAATATATTTATATATTTATATTACATTCTTACTCTGTCCTGGACAATGAGTTCTACCAGTTGATTCTATCCTCTTGCGAATTTATATATATATATATATATATATATATATATATATATATATATATATATATGAACATTGAAGTCAACACTTAGAGGCGGGCAGTCTATTTCATATATTATACGCAATCGTCAGGCCATTTATATTTACACACGCTCTATCTTTGATACTGACCACTTTATCCCATAAACATAGCACACCTGAAGACTATATTTATTCATATATATAATTTATACAAAGAATTAATTGGAAATTTTAATGTGATTAATGCCAGGATAAATTATGAAAAAGACTTAATGAGGCATTAACTTATTACCAATTCTTTTTATTATATAAATATGTATATCAATATTTTATATATAAAAAAGGCCGGAGCTGTATATTGATGAAATCTCAAAGGTGTTTGACAGGGTTTGGAACGTTGCTTTTCTATATAAAAAATCAGGGGATACGGCATTTTTTTCAATATCAATTATTTGATTTAATCCAATCATTCCTATATTATCATGTAATGAAGGTCGTTTAAAAAACTCATTCCTTTCACACGAATATATTATGTCCCCATATTTCTATCCTCGATATATACACTATTTTTGATCTTCATCAATGATCTTCCTGATATCATCAGTTCCCAAGGTGGTTCATTTTATGCAGATGAAACAAATTTTTTACTCCTGTCTCAATATAAAATCCGTCAGTGCTGACAAAGTTAAAAAACCTGCTTTTAAAAAGAATCTCCGATCAGTTCATTCAATTTCAAGGACAGGAAATGGCTCGTAAAAATTAATGTTTCCAAAATAAATTGCTCTAATTTAACCACCACAGAGAAACTTCCATTCCATCATCATATTTTCTGATGCTCGACTCAGGAAAACATATCACTGCACCTTCTTATTTTTATTTCAATGACCTGAGATGAAACAACTTCATTGAATCAATAGCTGCATCTACTGCAAGGAAAGTTGATTCACTGTGTCGTGCCAAAAGGTTTTTTCTCGTCAGAGTCCATCTTACACATTTACAAATCTGCCATTCGTCCGTGCATTGAATATTGTTGCGATATCTGGTCTGATGCCCCTGCTGTTCATCTCGAGGTTCTTGACAAAATCTAGAGAAGGATCTGCAATGTCATCGACCCTGATTTCCGTCACTTTCTCACAGACGTGATCTAGCTTCCCTCTGTGTTTTTCCACAAATATTTTTATGGCAACTGTTCTGACGAGCTTGTTTCCCTGGTGCCCCGATTACTGTTTAAACGTCCTACTAGATTGGAATTTAGGTCCCACCCTTTTACTGTTGAAATATTTTCTTTTGAAACAGTTTCTTTTCTCGCACTTCCCAACAATGGAACTCCCTTCATCTTACTTGTTTCCCTGAAAACTACAATCTTCAAAAATTGAAATGCAACGTCAATCGCCATTATCTGTTGTCTTGAAACCCGTTCATCTTTTATCCTTTCCTTAATCTTGTTATTCTGTTCTAGTTCCACGTGCCATGTTTTAATGGATGTCAGTTATCAACAGTCTACCCCAGTGAGCGAAATAAAAAAAACTGAAATATTCCAACCCACCAGAATAAGACCAAATAAACACATCAGCCGAAATGTTGTAATAAATATGGCGACAAAGATGAGGACAATAGTCCGAATAATGTAAAATAGTGTACATAATAAATACATCTCATTTTTATAAAAAAGATATTGTTTTTAAACACTATTTATTATTAAATATATATATATATATATATATATAAATATATATATATATATATAAATAAAAAATAATCATACATAAATCAATCAGCAATATTCTACGTTTGATTATTTCTTTATATATAAAATATATGCCGTCTAATATTATATATAGATATATATATATATATCACTAAATCTACTTTCAAAATCTACCACGACTCTAACTGTAGAAGTCATAACATATTTTACCTCCTAGAATGCACACTATGCCAGAAACAATATGTAGGAAAATCTGTATGGCCCTTTCACTACAGAAGTAATAATTATCGCAATTGAATTAAGTCGACTCCCCATGAAAGATTACCTGTAGAACAACATTTCCGCCTAGAAAAACACAATTTTAAAACCCATGCCAAATTCACTATAACTGAGAGAATAGAAAAGTTCAGAGCAGATAACATTAGAAAGATTTTAGAGTTCCATGAAAATAAGTGGATACAAGGTTTAAAAATGCACAATTTAACAATATAGATTAGTATATAAACCTACAAATCAAAACCTACCCACATTTCTCAACTACACAAGACAGACATGCTTACGGAGGTGTTGAGGCCTCAGATTTATACACACACCCACACGAATATACACACTTACACACATCATACTCAATCACTCCCTAATGAGCCACACACACCCATAGTAATATACACGGTTACACACATCATACTCACTCCCTAAGAACCAAATAACGCACACACATACACTTAACAGCGACACATCCTCTTTCCAGGAACCAATAAAACTGTCAAAATGACCAAAGGAATTCAGAGTAGCATGAATCCATCCAGCTCTTATCTTAAATAACAACTTAAAAGAGACTGTTTGACCAACACAAGGATTGACCAAAAGATTCATGTTAAAAAATAAAAAAAAACAAAAAACAAATGAAAACTACAGACAAAAGTTCATTTTCTCCATCAAGACATTCATTTCTGTAGTTCACTGCTACCAGCAAGCAGAAATTATTTTCTCCTGATGATGGCCATTTTGGCCGAAACTAGTCGAGGAATCTAAATGAAATAATAATAAAAAAAAAGAAAATTAATATACAACCCAGTGTGTCTGAAGATTTTAATTTTTTTAATATTTTTTATTGTTCAATATATATATATATATATATATATATATATATATATATATATATATATATATATATATATATATTATTTAAAAATAATTTTTATTATGAAAAAAGAAACATAACAATTCAACAATAACATTTTTTCAAATGATTACTTTAAATGTATGATTATCGACACGCATTTTTATAAACTGAAAATAAAATAATATTTTTATTAAAAGAATTAAACAAAACAGCATTTTTTATTAACAAATAAGTCGCCTACAAAAACGCCAACTGATAATTATGCAAACCCAAACTTTTTTGAAATCGTTATCATCCTATGTTTATTTAATAAAACCACTAAGACACAAGGAGTTAATCACTGTGGAAGAATTAATTTACGGAAGTAATAATTTTTGAATGGAAAGAAGAAATCTTTCTTTAAAGGATTTTTAGATATGCGATTGACATTGCATTTAAATTTTTTTACATCAAAGTTGGCCGGAAAGTATGAGAGTTGGAAAAACTTCAATAAATTAGCTTTAAGACACGAGAAAAGAAACTATTATACAGAATTACATATAAGCCATATATGTAAGTCGTCTCCAGTTTAATATTGCGCTTAAATTTAAAAAAAAATCTAATTTCTATAGCGAAGAGTTCCGCCGAACAATTACCATGAAAGTTGGTAAATGACTGAATCCGAGCCGCCAGATCAGGGCCGACAATATTGCTGATTCTTTTTTGAATTTTTTCAAGGAGCTCAAATTTCTCAATGTATGTTACAGCTAGAATACCGCGAACCTTAATTTTCCAAACCTGAATCAGATAGAAACCATTGGCTTATTTAGTTTTCAATTAATAATTATATAAGGGTCATAAGAGAGAAATTCTTAAAAACAAAACTAGGCGATTTTTAGCAAACAAATGTTTCCATCGATTTATCACTATTGGGAAAGCTGGAAAGATTTATAGGGAAAGAATATTTCACACTCTTCGACTCATGAAAATCGTTCTGATAAATTCTAATTTATTTTTTAAAAAATGAATTTTTTTAAAAATAAATTACAAATATCTATGTTAATTATTCGTTATATCATAAAATGATTCATCAAATAGTTTATGTCGACTAACAAAGAGAAATAGCAAGCCTTGAACATGAATCAGCGAAAGTGTTATCAAATAAAAATTCTTCAAAATTCGGGTTAATGTGTGTGAATATTGAATTTTGTTTCTTCTTTATCGGTACATTTGTTTCTGTTGTTCTATAAATAGTGTAATTTTCTATTTTCATCGCCATTGAAGATTTTTTATAGACAATGCCAATGTCATAAAAATATCACTTTTTAACATTAAGGGGAAAAAGAGGAAGGAAGACGTGGGAAAAAGTAATTTATGTCGCTGTGTGGTATTATTTGGGGATAGAAATGCCTAAACAGATGACCATTGGTTAATAAACAATGTAGACATTTTTTAACGTTTTCTTTCCTTTAGGACGT